GCCGGAGAAGCAGTGGACCGTGGGTGATTGTTGCGGCCATGCGCAAAGATATGCAGCAATGGCTGGAGCTTGGCTTGGCTATACACTCGGCCCAAACCTAGTCTGCGTCTGGTCCCAACCCAAGTCCAAAGCTATATTAAAAAAAAAGTCCAGGAGCGGACAACAACGGGGTTGTACCGGGTAGACCGGACTGGACCGAGACTGTGACCAGACCTGGACCAGGACCGGAGCCGGACCTGGACCGGTCCAGGTACCTGGACTGGGATTGGACCCGGACCTGGACCGGGACTAGAACCGGACCGGGACCGGATAAAAATCGGGCCTGGTCCCGGTCATAGCCCAACCTCCCATGGCCCACCTCTGCTCATTCGCATCATATGCTAAAGCCATTCCCGGCCTCCGTGGGCAATAGGAATGGGCGGCCATGAGACGCCAATATGGGCGCGCCTCTCGTGCCTCACGGGCCATCACTCGCATACTGCGGGCTCCTAGTCATGCTAACCATAGGGCCTATGTGCACCAAAAGTGTGGCCTCTTGGACAATCGCTCGAGCCAGCGCCTGCTGCCAATCCAGGTAGGTGTGAGCGTTGTTAGCAAGCGCCCAAGAGGCACAATGCTTGCACCACTCGGAGGCCATCCTCACCACCCAATTGTGCCGCATGCAACCCTGAGTGCATGGGTGCTTGCCTGCCGCACGTGTCACCTCAGGGCACATTGCCTGGCTTCTCTAGACACTGGCTTGCCATACATCCCATAACATTGAAGTGACTGTGCTCCACACAGAACGCGGAGATACAAGGGCAGGAACAAGGCTTAAAGGATTATTATTATTTGGCACTGGCACACAACACATAGGCGCCTGACTGCCAAGTATGCTGGTTTAATTAGAGGGCACTGCATTTGCAATGCGTGCGCGTATGTTTGGCCTTGGAAGAAAACGAAAAAAATCCCTCAGGAATCATGGACAATATTAACAAAATATATTATCCACTTGCACCTCCACTATGCACCCCTCTGTAGATGCCAAGGAGGATAGGATATTGTCAGTTGAGAAGAAACTTATTTGCTTGCGATTTTTTAGTGAAACAATAGATCATCAATATATCCGATCTTGGGCAGGCACTGAAACGCTACTGTAGAATCCCCCAGGATAATGGCGACCAAATGAAGCAAATGGCAGAGCTTCAGTCAATGTATTACAATGGTGGTGGGCCCCCTGGTCCAGACAAGGTCGAGTGCACCAGCGAACTGAGACAAATGGCCTATGGGGTGCCCACTTTTATAAGTGGCGTGCTCCCCCTCTCGTCATGACACCCTCGGCCTCTTGTAATGTCTAATACAATCCTGTAATGCCACCTCGGCCCTTGGAGAGCCACTCACATGGTCCCTTGGCCCCTTGGCATACCCCCAGTAATGCCCGGCGGCTTCCCCAAGCTATACTATATCCCTCCAAGGTACCATAGCCGTAGGGGCGCTTGTACCTATGATCTAATATAATGCAGGTACCTGACAGGTGCCCGTACTGCCAGATCAACCCCATAATCCCTTGTTTTTTTGTTTGTTTGTGTCCTCCTTACATGGATGCATCGACATGACGTCACGGTATCGATCAATGTAGCGTACCATCCAGTGTGTGAGGGGCGCATCCGGGCCCACCTATGTAACCAAAAGCACGCCTCTAATGGTGGCCACAGCTGCCACCGAACCCCTGGAAACTCCCCCCACAAAAATAAGAGAAAATATCTGCAAACCAAGAATCAAAGTGATGGGCTATTTCTCGGTCACCTCCTTAGCTCGAATGCGGTCATGCGCTGAGCGCAGAAAAGGTCCCAATTGGCCGCGATGTTTCCGAACCAGATTGCACAGATTCGATGTATCAACCGCTTCTGAATTTAGCCACTTCTCGTGCAAATCAATACACCATCCCATAATCCTTTAGAGTGTACTCCACCACTTTCTGGCGGCTCCCATCCGCCCATGACCGCGCACCACATCATAATAGAATATAATGTTCATAATCACACCGGTTCCATCAAGGAATAATGCCCCAAATGGCCAGAAATGAGCTAAATAATTTAAATTATTTTAATGACCTCATTATACCGAAAATTGGCCCATTTCACAAGATGAACGTGGCGATCATGATTAACACATTTTTAGTCTCAAATGATCTTATTTAAGTCATATAAGTCATGTAATTACCTGTCACAGCACAGTACAGTGTCCAATCACTACAGCTAATATTCACAAAGCACAAAAAGAAGTGTTGTAAGGCCCAAATGTGCAGTGCCCAAGGCACAACTCGAATTGGTGCACAACATCCCCTCAATACATATAAATTGGATCTTAAAACATGATTCCACATATTTATGTTCCATCACCCAAAACCTTCCTTTGTTTTCACACTATAGTCATTGCACCTATTGGTGCATCAATTGATGCACAAATTGGTGCAACGATCATTGCATTTAATCGTCTAACAATTGGTGCACGATTTCATGGACCGAATGGCACACCATTTCATGCACTAATTGGTATGCCTAACTTGATCCTAAGAGGCAAAATCCAAGTGATTAAAGGGCACTACGAATGAACATGCTCAACTCATGTTCAAACTAGCCTGCATTCAATTGCCTGCCAAGTTTTCATAGACTATTTCTATTTGGCCCCAGCACATTATACACTTATATGTATTGTGTCTGCAAAGGGCGGCAATCCATTCTGGCCATTACCCCCAGAGATAGCACAGCAAAATCACCCTCAAATGGGCAGGTGAGCCATGTCGATAGCCTCAGCACCATTCAGTTGAGGGTTCACTGAACGACCAAACTTTCGCCCCTCTCATGAGCTGGCTCTTCACAAAAAGCTGCTTGTTGCGGTGACGACAACCACCAAAATTAGTAGCGATGGCAAGGGAACGTTTCAAACGAGTGGCGAACGTCCCACTGCCAGCCAACCATGCAAATGTGCTTGTGGAAACTCTCACAACTGCCGCTCAGAGCGACTCATCCGGTCTCAACTGCTCCTCAACAGTCGGTGAAGTCAAAGTGGAAGTCAAGTCCATGGGTTAGGGCTGCCTTGTCCACAACACATCGGCATATGACACGGAAGATGCTTCTCTCCGCCTCGACAAGGCTGTGCAGTGACGAGACTTGGCAAGTTCTGGCCGGCAACTACACCACACTGAAGGTGCTATTCTTGAACGGCAAGGAAATACCTTGAAAACATAGCCCAGACTGGCCGCGACCTTAGAAAAGGTTGAGCGCTATTGCGCTCAGGCCATGGCGAACGTTGCGCGCACAACCAGGGGAGTCTGGCAGCCAGGCTGAACGCCTAGACAGCCATGCAAGACACACACGGACCCCACGCAGTCGTTCTTACAGCTGCCATGCCGAGTGCAACAATGGAGAGTACCCCACAGTGCTGTCCGTGCCCCTAGTACTTGTATCCTCCCCCGAGTTTGAAATGCACCCCCATATGAAACAACATCTCTTGATTCCACGGAATCTTTCTGCCACACAACCGTGTCACCACAAATCATACTGGTGTGCCCCATTTCCCGGCCACGTAATGCCCCACGGGGCCATATTCCCATCAAAAGCTACGTGGTGCCTCCGCACGCCCCTCCTTACCTTGTCTCGCTCCGTCCTATGGCAAGTTGCTCAGGGGGCAACCCCCCTCCATCCAAACAGCACCATCGCACATAACATACCATATCTTGCTCGCTAAGGATCCGTTTGAGGCGAAATCTTTTGTAAATGATATCTTTAAAACACCTCTACATATTGGGATAGTAACAACATGTTGCAAGTATGACTTATAACGGATTGATCCTTTCAAATCCAGATTCGATCAACTTTCACAAGTCCATTTTTCTGATTCATGGCACCCAACCTCCCGTGACAAACCATCCTACTCTGAGCTAGGGGGCACACTTCTAAGCAGTTTGCGTGCCATAGGATGCCACACTTCTCTAGCACCATACTAGGATGACAAATCCAGCTGCAGTACATTTGCATGCCTCTTGCATCAGCCCAACGACCTCCCGTTCCGCGCATCCACAGCACGCACGCTCGCTCGAACTCACGGCAATCTGCCACACAGCCGACTATGCAGGGGGAAAGGCCTGCCCGTTCGCCAGAACCCCCCCTGGCAACTTCGCCCTCGATCCATCTCAATCGACGATTCGGTCATGTGTCTGCCATCTCCCATCGGCAGCACCATGGCCAGCCATGGCTGTCCCGGCTCGATCAACAGGCATTGCTCGGAAAAACTGACGCAACCCAACTCGCCAAGCCTTTCCGCATCCAATGCCCCCGGTTGCGCATGGCTGTAGCCCTTGCCAAAGCAAACCCAAGTGCCCAGCAGCGACCTGGGTGCTTCTCACTACTTCATGGTATTTTCCAAATATGTCAAACACCGGTGTGCCCATGACGCGCGCTGCCACGTATTGGAGCTGTTTCCGGCATCACAACTGCATTTTGCTTTAGGTTCTTTAGGCATCTGGTGAAGCTGTTGTAGTCCCTCTTTGTCACTGACGTCATCTCTTTTGCATTCTGAGTGCCTTGGGCTTGAGTTACTAGAAAATTCTGGAGCACTCCTGATTGATGTTTTGGGGTTTCTGCCTCATTGAGCGCCATCCCACTGGATGGCAATCAGTGTGACGAAGGTGCTGAGACTGTCGACATCCCCTCTGCATCATTTCTGGATCTTTCGGGTCGCCAGCAGAGCGATATCCTAACTTAATAATTTTTTGATAAGCCCCATTTATTGGCGACCCGAACATGTCACAACTATCAAGGAACATGTGGGTAGTCCGGCCGACCGCACGATGCCACACCGTCGGGTTAATCGGAGGACCGCGCTTGCCCAGCGCGCGGATATCCGGCCTTGTCCAGTAGTTTACAGTACTATGATTGGGCGCAGCATGGGTTCATTGGTGTTGTGCTGGGTTCGGCGTTGTTGTTGGGTTGGTCGCCCTGCGCGCGCCCCAGGCCACGATGAAATACAACCCAACAGTGAGCTCCTCGCGGAGGAAGTGCAGGAAGGTGAGGCTCAACCGATTCTGATCCTCCGTTGCTTGCGCCATGCAGCAGCTTGGCGATTGCAATCTTCGTGGCGGCGCACTGACTGCACACTCCTTTGCCGCTGTCATGAAAGAGGCATTTCACAGCCCCATCCCATGTGCGGCGAGTTTTGATGAGTGCCCCGCTATCGGCTGAGCTGACGAACAAATATGGGGTGAGTTGCGGATACAGTCTCGACCTGCCCATGGCCATACAATCTTCCCGTTGCTGGTTATGAGCCTTGGAGACGATTCTTACAGGACCAGTGGTGATTTTCGCATTTGATGATCATCATTGTATGGGCGCGTTGTCCGTAGGTTCGTGCGGTGCCCATCCGAAAGGACGATGAGGTGCGAGTGGAGAGGGGAACATTCAAGGTATGCTCTAGTGGCACCCATCCCAGAGGCGGAGGAGGGGTGCTAAGAAACTCCATGTTGTAGGTGTACGAATTGCAGCCCTCCCCATATGTGTTGAATTGTTCTGCCTTGCGCTGCACTGCCCCCAATTCCCTATTAAACCCTTTGCTCGCAGATGTCCCTGTGGAATGCGGTTCACACTTGCCACAGGGTGTGTGTACTTGAGTTGCTGGTAATACTGCGAATGCCACTGCAGGGCCGAGAAGGCAAGGTAGTTCAGGTGTACCGAAAGAAATGGGTTGTCCATGTGGAACGGTTAACAAGGGAGAAGGTCAATGGTAAGTGCACACATGTACTGTCGGTGAATGGTGTGAAGAAGCTCCCAACACTCTGTGCACACCTTCCTGTTGAATTTCCATCAAAACCTGTTTGAGGTGGGAAATGAATGACTGGAAGGGAACACAGTGGCCATGTTGGTTGCCTGACGTAGCCCTCTTGGTGCAAGAACATCGCTTCATCCTGTGTTTTCAGAACGCTTTCTCAAGTATTTCAGCAAGAACCATTGTATGTTGACAGCATGACTTTGCCTCTTTGCATAGGTGCCACAGTGAACGTTGGGATCCGACCCTGCAAAGTGACGATCACGAAATTGAAGCTTGATAAGGACCGCAAGGCCCTGCTTGAACGAAAGGGTGCAAAGGACAAGGGCAAAGGAAAATTTACAGATCAGGACATCCAGGCCATGCAGGATGTTGATTGAGTGCTGCAGCACGTTCCAGGGCTGATAGTTTATTGTGGTTGCCTTTCATCAGAAGAGTGATGGGCATCAGTGTCAGTCAGGGGCGCTGCCCTGGAGAGCTTTGGCAGCACTGAGGGAGTGCACAGGTACAAAATCTCAGATGGCTTTTTTAAAAAGGCGGATTTCATCCTTAACTCTGAACACTGTCTGCTGGTGGGCAGGACCACAAGTGTCCTGACGACCCCATTCGAGCGTCTTTGGTCGAGGATACCACCAGAACCAGAGGAGAACAGTGTTGACGACTGGCATAGTGGCCTTAATCCGGAATCCCACACCACACCACAAACGTCCTGTGTTCTTCCAAATGCATTTTCGAATTCCTTCGAGCGGTTTTGGCGGTGCCTGCGTTGATTTCAAGCGACCTCAGACTGGAGACGAGCACTGGGTGCTTTCCACACATTCGGTGCCAGAATATTGTCCAGTGACGGGGGAGGGCATCCGCCATTCGAGAATCCCCAGCGCATGGCTCACAGCAGCCAGATGCGCAAAGCATACGAGCATTAACCATTTTGAGCAGCTTGCCTAATGGAGTGAAACCCTAGAACTGACCGCGGACCATGAGTCAGTGGTCAACCCCGTCGATTTCAACTCAAAGCCGGTGATGATCATCGGTTGTGGGGAAGCGCAGCAAGTCGCCCCACCCTTGATGCAAAACCACAAAGGCCGCATCCACCCAGCGCCTGTGCGCCACCGACTGCTGTTGTTGGCGTGTGTTGGCAGTTGGCTGTGGGACCTGGGGACCAATGGCAGCGCCTGCTATTCCGAAGATACCTGGCTACACCGTCACGGGTCCGGTGAGTTATGAGTACGTGGGGCGTCAATGGAATTGGCCGAAAAGTGAAGACTGCGCGGTTCTCACCGACCCGTCCAAAGCGCGTGTGTGCACACGTAGAGATATTCGGTCTCGTTCGTTTGGGAGAGGGCCGCGCCCTGGAGGCCTTGATGACCCCTGATATTGAACAAAACACGCTGCATGTAAGCCACACAACGGAGATGTCAGCATTTCAATGGAGGTCGCGCATGCACGGACAACTGAGACAAAGGCAGGCTGCCGCAGGGTGTCTTCAGTGCAGCCGATTTTTTGCGCAGGCATTTGGCATGCAATCCGTTGGCCAGTACTGTTGGCCCCATCCACGACCATGCTCACTGCACCAATGACAGCAAGGGCAGCAACGCCCGAACTCGTGCGCAACAATCTGGACCGACGGCACATTCCATGCAGGTGCTGCATGCCATCAACGGCATGTTGCACACGCCGGCGGCCCCAATGGACGAACGCTTGCTCTTCGCAGATCGTCCCCGGTGAAAAGACTTTCAAGAAAGGCCAGTCTCTTCATTACATCAATGGATACGCCACAGAGCGTCCTTTGAAACTCGTTGGAGACATCTGGGGAGCTGAGCCCGTGACCAAGCGCCAGCAGGAGGCAGCATTGTCATCCCCAAAATGGGACCCCAGCAGCACGCTGCCAAAGTGGGTGGAGAATGACCGAAAGGTTGGGAAACTGTGGACGACGGGCGCCGATGGAAATTCGTATTCAGCTCGATTGTGAACAATGCTGATTAGATGCGTCGATGCATGATGCTGAGGCGCCACTCGATCCAGCAATCTTGTTTCTCTCCAACCGCACCCCTGTCGAGCCCCTCCCGTGATTTGTTAATATGACCATTTGCCACTGTGTCTATGCTGCCAGGTGTTGAGATTCTACGGGTATCTCAAGGAGAGCGTCGCAGAATGCCGACTCGAGAACCATAGGATTCGCAAAGTCGTCATATACTACTACCTCTCGGACGACACCATGCATGTGGCCGAGCCAAAGAAGGACAACAGCGGACTGCCACAGGTGAACCACGAGCTGGAACCTGTGTGGCGACCTTCAAGAAGAATTGAGCCTAATCTACAATAAATCCATTCGTTCTCCCAGTTTTGACTCGCCCGCCGTCGATTCCCAACGGCCAAGACCTCATTGGTGAACATAAGCTGGTGAAGCATTCAAGTACTTTCCTTGCTGCAGGGCGTCTTCGTGAAGAGGCACAAAATGACGAAAGAAGATGGGTCGCCCTTCACTCCCAAAGACTTCGCTTTGGGACAGACGGTGGACGTGTACGGGCGCAAGGTCTTTTTAATCGACTGCGATGATTTTACTCGGGAATACATGACCAGCAAGATGGGAGTTCAGGTCGGAGAGTCTCTACAATGCACGACGGACCCAATCGAGGTGTACCAGGCAGCTTACAAAAGGAAAGAAACGGGTGCGCACATGGAGTCATTTGCGCACGCGACTGCGATTTCCTGCGGCAGAAATAGGCAGGTTCAATGCCGGCACGTTCGCTTAGAACTCTTCCTTAGTTTCTCATCTGCAGCAGTTTCTGCAAGGCGAGGGATGAGACGCGGGAATATCCGGGGCGCAGTACCACCGCCTCCTCTCCTGTGGTCACATTTGGGTGGTGGTCCTGCCTGCCAGGCATTCCTCCAAATCCAAGAACCGACGATTTGACGCGTTTCCTGGAGGCCAAGCTCGGCAAGCCACCCAACGTGCTGGAGGAAGACCGGCTGCAGCAGTTTCTGGAGAACAACAGGAGGGTGCTTCGATTTTGGTGTCTGTGGGATGACCGCACGAGCTTGTACGGCGACCGCCGGCCGTACGTACTGCATTACTTTCTGGAGGACGACACCGGAGAAATCCTGGAGGTCAACGAGAACAACTCGGGGCGGGATCCTTTCCCCATCTTCCTGAAGAGAGGTCCTCTCAAGAAGGTGAGGATCATGCTCCCCTCCGGGGTAGATGCTGCAAAGCCCGCAGCGAAGCACGCGCCACGAGGCCATCGGCTCCAAGCTGTGGCGCTGCGCTCGTTGTCGAGTCAATCAGACGTGATGCTGCATCATGCGCTAGCGCAGTCCAGCGACTGCGCCTCCCATGATCTTCAGCCCCAATGAACAACGCAAGATAAAACAGTACTAGACAGGGGGGCATGGGGAGGCTCCAATCGCAACGAATAGATCTCGTGGATTGCGGCCGCAGGAGCAAGCGGCCTTCATGTCGGTGACCAACAGGACGTATAAAGATCAATGCTATTGCCCCGAGGATTTCCGCCTGGGTTCCTCCGTGCACATCCAGAACCGGTCATTCCTCATACACGACTGCGACGACTTCACCCGGAGGTGGTACATGGAGAATCTGGGCCTCCCAGAAGAAGCCCTGCGCTCCCTGGACACCACGGAGCCCATACCGCCATGTGCCAAGTCCGCCCTGCCGCCCCACAACGACTACGGCACGCTGGAGGACACGCAGCAGAACTGCCTGAGCCTGTTGCCCAAGCCGCCCAAGAAGAATTTCCACAAGCTCATGAACAAGGACAGCATCGTGCTGCGCTTCCGGGCGCGCATGCTCGAGACAGATCGATTCAAGCTGAGCGTAGCGGACAGGGACCGGAAATTCATCATATCGTACTTCATGGCGGACGACACCATATCTGTGTACGAGCCGCCTCTGCGCAACTCCGGCATCATCGGAGGGAAGTTTCTGGAGCGCAGCCGCATATTCAAGCCGTCGTCCGAGGAGGCGTACTCCTGCTGTGACCTGTACTATGGCGCAACCATCGTGATTCACCGCAGGAGCTTCGAGCTGCTGGAGGCGGACGAGTTCACGTACACGTACATGGAGAACAATCGGCACGTGTTCGTAATGGCGGACACCGACGCTCTGATGAGGAGCCTCCAGAAGCAGGTGAGGATCGAATCGGGCAGTGGCCAAGCGGCCCTGTCAAAAATCAGAACAGAAATGCGTTCCAGCGCTCTGCGCGCATACCTTGTTGGCGTCCAACAATTGGAATTGCATCACGGGGACACCCTGCCTTGAAAGCGGGTCTCTCTGGCTCTCGACCATCAAGCCATACCCATTGAAGTTACTGCCGTCTCTTTCCCATGGGCATCTGTGGCCGCCACAGGGCGCCTCGCGGCACATGAGCTCGATACCAAACAACGCAATGCACAACTTGCCCCAGCACTCGTCGCCAGCCAGCAGATCCGCGCGTTGGATTGCTCAGTCTAGATGTGACAGATCCTGCCGTCTGCACACGCTCGAACAGGTGAGCGGCAGAGAAGACGAAGTGAGAACATGCTTCATTAACGTCGACACAGACGGAACAGGTTGTTTGTCCATGAGTGAGCTGGAGGCGGCCCTCGAGAAGGCGAACTTCAAATTCACAAAGCACCAAGCAGTGGCATTGGGAAGGCGAATGGACAAGGACAAAAGCGGCCAGATTGACGTTGAGGAATTCCTCACCGCGATTGGGGTGACCGCCGCGGATGCCCCAGAAAAGTCTGACGCCAATGAGGTGTCCAATACAGAGGTGGACAAGTAGGAAGGTGCACCATTAGCAACGTTCGCAGAAGCATGGTTTCTGGGAGCGAAACTCGATGGCATGGCATTTGCGATGGCAGAGGCGCGTGGGGAGGCCTGTCGTATCAATTGCAGAGGAAGCAGCATTTAATGTCGTTCCTTGTCAGGGATGGTGTCATCTACTGGTAGATGACTAACGACGCCAACGGGTTTGCGCCACTGGCTCAGCATTGTCCATGCAGCCGCAAGCGCAGGGCCAAATGCTGACCATCCTCTCTGCCCCGGGGCTCCATCAGCAAGTTCTTTGTATTATTCTCACTCAGGCGCTACCAAACTCGCAGAAAATATTTTTGTGGATGCCAGAGGAGGGATTGTTTGCGGCATGCAGTGCAGATTCCTTTTTAGCAGTGCCCCGTGTACAGCAAAATCAGTGTGAGGGGGCCGCAACTTTATTAACTTTGTGACATTGTAAGGAACGCGGACTGTGATGTTTTGTCACGGTCTGATAGATCCCATCCCCACTTTAGCTCCGTCGCTGAGTAGTTAATCTTGGTATCACTGAGTTGGTAGCACGTCTGGGCCAACGCATGACTGCTGATGTCCAGCATCCCGCCATCACACAGCTTTCAAGACGGCCCTCAAAAAGCCACCACCTGGGAGGCCACGTTATTCCATTGTACCGAGAACCCTGCTGTCAGGGAGCAACAGCCTCCCGGAGCTGCGCAAGGGGTACAGGCCCTGTTGGCCTTGCATCAACTTGAGTGCAGCTTTTGGCGGTACACTGACCTACCGGTTTCAAGTGTGTGCCAGTGCTGTGCAGGAACAGCGATGTCCGTGGAATTCTCCTTTGCCATCCGCAAGGGAGCACACTCGGTCCTATTGGGATGCATATGCCTGTGGATCATTTGTGCTTGCAGCATGTTTTGGGGCATGCACAGAACGTTTCGGGCCATTCACAGCACGGTTGAGGCATTCACGCTTTTCATGCATAGTGACCCACGACAAGTAAGAATCCAAACCTAAAGTGTGCATTAAGTACAAAACAGGAGGCAGACACCCAGGAAACAATCGCAAATAGTGAAACAACGGCATCCTTCGACAAGCGGTGTGACAAGTGAGAAAGTCCCAAACCACAAATCCACATGAAAATGTGTTTGAGCTGTGCAAAGCAGAAACTGTCAGAATATATGTTTATTCCCTTCCACAGTGGAGTGGAGCAAACATCCCCGAGGTTTAAGTCCCCGGTGACCCAAAGTAACCTCGGTTTGATCACACTGGGGCAAAACATAGCGGGCGAGAATTGGCTGCCTTGGCTTGAGAACGACAACGACATTATCATCTCAACAAATGAGAGCACTGCGGGCGTCATGTAGTTGGTAGCTTGCACTGAACACCATGCCTAAGGAAATGAGGTTTTACACAGAGCGTTCTTTCACATTGACCTTCTGAAGCCCGTGACACCTGGGCCGAGTATCAACGGCACACCCAATGCTGCACAACCATGGGAAGGAGGCATCACGGCACAAAAAAGAAGGGTAACGGCAACCCATTTGTCTCTTCTGCTTCCGCTGTTGGGTTGTGGGCGAAGTCAGCTTTGAAAGTAGTGGTCCTTCTCTTGGGAAGTTCATACAAGCAGTGATTACTAATAGTTATGGAAGACCTTCCTTTCCGTAGTCCCATATTCTCTTCCGCGCTTGTTACTTGCAATGGATGCCCAAAAGTCCGTGTTGTACGAATCCATTAATATCAGAGCGAAGGTCTCGCGAGACGCCGGGCGGTGTGGGCACGCGACCTTCCAGTGCTTTAGCGTCGCAGACGATAGCCGCAGACCGAAGGCCACCCTCACCAGCGCCGGAGCCGGCATTCCGTCAGCGCCGCGGCAACCCGCTGGCAAACGGGTTATCTCAGCGGGGCGGGGCGGCCATGAGGATATCCAATGGGGCGGACGCGGCGGAGGGGCGCGGTGTGACGTTCTCCTTCTCCGCAATCTCCCATCCCGGGGTGGAGGTGTCGGGACTGGGAGGCAAGAGGCGCGGCGGCGGCCCACTGGCCTCCATGGGCGCCTGCACGTTTGTCGGCCCCAAGGACCTGTCGGGTGGAAGTTCGCGCTTACCGCAGACGCGAAAGGGGCAGAGAAGGCTGGAGCGAGACGGGGCAGGATCCCCATGGCGTGGGTGGCGCAGGGCGTGCAGGGGACGCTGGACGAACACCTGCGGAGCGCGTTTTCCGAGATGGACGCCCACGGGCGCGGCTGCGTGTAGGAAGCTGACATGATGCAGTGCGGGACCAATCATGTCGTGACCATGTTTGGTGCGTACTGTGTACAGAAACGAGTTTTTGGGAAGTGTTTTTAAAGCTAGAAAAGTATTTGTAGCCAGCAGCATCAGGAACCAAGTGCAGCAGTTCAGTGCGGGAGGTGGGAGGAGCCTCCTTGTCAGAGTTGTCTCGGTTCAGTGTCTTGGTCAGTGCTTTGGCAAGAAACTGTGGCGAATTGTTTTGTCCCTTAATTGTTTGCTCCATCATTTGTGTGAGTCCGAGAGTTTTTCGCACATTTGTTGTATAATTTGTACCTATCGTTGTTGTGCGAGATACAACGACTGGCCTTTCCCCCCAATTCTTGGTGTTGCACTGGTGCTTTTTCTGTTCCAATATTCTACATCACATTCCAGTGCCAGGGTTGCACCAGGGTTGAATCTACAAAAGCGAGGATTCCAGGATCGACTCATCAGAGGCAGTTCTGTTTCGCAGCCAAGTTGAGAGGCCAGCTGGCTGTCTATGCACATGGCAATGCTGGGCCACACTGCACCGGGTTGGTCAGGACTGGCACCAATACCTTAATAGCTGTATTGTTGTTGCCCAGTTCCAGCTGGTAGTACGAATAGGAGCACCTTCAGCATGCTTGCCCACTTGTTCTTCCCATTCGCTCCACACGGACCCACCCATCCTGGCTGATGCAAAGGAATTGGCGTTCACAAGGGGCCTGCTTCTTGAGAGTTCATTCTGCTGGATTTCGCTGCATTTCAGCAAAAATACGAAAAGATCTTCTTGCTGTCCGATCTTCTCGTTTGCACAGCCTTTGACGTCAATGAGCACATGTGCAAGTTCAAGTTTGCAAAACAATTGTTCCACGTCAGTGTGCACCAGGAACGTTGTTTGGATAAGCGTGAGATCGGGTCAGCCAACAGTTCCATTTTCTGGTGTCGAAATAATGGAATGAAGGAGAATCATAGCTCCTGGTCCCTTGTATGTTCACTTAGTACCAGGCTGTGGACTTGAAAAGGTTGCTTCCTTTTGTTCAAGAACTTTTGGCTCAGATACACCAGCCTATTCCAATGTTCTGCACAAGAGAACATAATTCTTCACCACACTTTATTTTACACAATGGTGTTTGCAAAGCAATATCAGCATCTGGGCATTATGCTGACAGCAAGCCTTCTCAACAAGTTCACAAGCAGCACTTGGTCTGAAAGCATTAGCTGGGACACAGAGCAACTAAACAATAAATGTGCTGATGAAGCCACCTGATGTTCTTGGCCCCAATGGACCCTTGTGGAACAGTGACTGGCAAAGACACCTGTGGCGATTGGCGTGCGTTACCGTCCGCCGGGCAATCTGAGGTGCTTCCCAGCGAGCGATGGTCCAGCCGCAGCGCCGTCGTCAGGGCTGCGCGCACACAGCGTCCAGGGCCCTCTCTGCACACCGGCCGTACTCTTCCACAAGGGCTTCGCACTGGTACGCGAGCTGCGGGGGCCTTTGCCGGTAGCATTCCATGCACCTGTTCTTCTCGCCTTCGCAAGGCACCGGCCTCGCGGGTCGCACCTCCCTCCCCACCATCTCCGCCGCCATGGCTTCCACCTTTTCCCGCTCCTCGCCCTCCCGCTTGAGCAGCAGGCGCCCCACCAGCGTGGCCCTCCCAAATGCCCGGCTGACGTCCTTGTCTTTGCGGATGAAGGCGGGAAGGGTCGCCTTGTGGAGCTTGTTGCTGGGCTGGGCGGGGGTTGGCTGTGGAGCGAAGGTGGCCTCCCGCTTGACGCCCGCCAGCTGCTCCAACAAACCGCGGGATATGGTGATCTGAAAACGCTCCATAGGCCTGAAGGCTGGAGGCCGCAAGGGCGCACCAGCCTTGCACTGTTGGGCTTCACCGTCCCTCAACAGTTCGACGAGGTATTTTTCGCCCTTTTCCGAAATATGAAAAAATGCTATTTCACGAGAGCAAACCCTCCAAGACACTGGTGGCCGCGTCTCCCCGCTCGGGTTCTCCTCCATCTCCGCAACATGAATCGGGGGCTAGCAAGAGGGCTGTCCCTGCTGGCTCGTCGCGCTGGCAGGGGGCTGGCGACAGACGCGGGCGCTCCAGGAGAGATCGGCGTCGTCAGTGGCGCCCCTCTCGACGTGCTCCAGCGCAAGGTGATGGGGTCCTCACTGCCATTGTCACGTTGGTGCGGATGACTTCCTTGCTCTCATGGTAGATGCTGTAGTCGAGGAAACTGTGGCAAAATGCGGATGCGCGCAGTTTAAGTCGCCGTGAGACGACGTGCGCAACAAGCTCCTATTCTCACAGCTCAGAGGAGCTCACTGTTCGAGCCCGTACGAGCTTCTGGCGCAGACTGCAGGGTGAAGGACTGCCCCCTTGTTGGCAGTGGTGGCCTGTGTCTGAGCTTCTGTTTGATGCTCAAGATCCTGCGTCCAAGCGGTCCACCCCCTTCCTAACCCCTCAGCGTGCACTGTTGCTCGATGCAACGTTGCACCAACGCTGTCCAGGCAAGGGCCTGTATCACAATCGCATTGAAACACTGCCCCTGGAATGAGCCTGGTTGTAGTAACCTTGGATGGCGAAAGCTCACCTCCATAGATCATCAGGTGGTTGGACCTGGGAAATGTGTACGAGCAGCCATGACAGCTGCCAGGCGATCAAGTCGGACACCAGAACACTAATTTGCCGATGATTACCGCAATACCCACCTGTGTATACTGCATGTGTGGTGTGCACTGCGAGGACGGTGTTCCTGGTGGAGCACACAT